AATAATTGTAACCTGTAACTAGACTATTTGGGACAATTTGATTGATATGTGAAGAAACCCTACTGTAGATCGTGCAAATATGTTCACTTTGTTGAATGAGATTGCTTACACAATTACGCATCTAATTTGTTAAGTCTCAAACAAAAGCTCTTATTTTGTTCATCTTTTGTTAAGCTACTATTATTAATTTTGTCAGTGGAATGAATGCTACAACCCGAATTCCTTACAATGCAAAAGCACCGCTTTTGAATCGATAGGGACTTGTTTTACTAATTGATTGATTGATTCATTGGAACTATAAAGAGAAAACTCCTAAGCATAGCCATGCATATGTGCAAATATTAGGGGGAATAATTCAATACGGTCTCTGTACTGGAGTCCTGTAAAAATGTTAGTACTGATTAGTACTAATAGAGGTAGCCTTGGCTGAAACCCCGCCCACTCAATAATAAAGGCAAAATAAAATAAAATAAAATAGAATAATAGTTAATAGAATCGAATGAATGAAGTACATATAGGAGAGTCAGAAAAACTTGGGTAAACATCACCGTATTTTGGACGGGGCTTTTGAGACGCCGTTTTCCAAAATGACCAACGCAGATTTTATTTTGTATATATTATTTCTGTTCCTGTGAGAGTCATACTCATCATTTAGGTGTCTAAATATTATGCTATTTATTAAAGAAAAATAGTATTATAGTATTTACAATATATTGGCCATGTAAGTTATTTTTTACTGGCGAGGCGTTAGGCGATTTTTGCTCACTACGCCAGTTTTTCCAGAAACGCTCAAGCAACTCAATTTTAGTTTTGAGGGGGACACCTACACTAAATAATTAACCCTGAAAAGGGGATGAATTGCATCCCAAAATTTTAAACGGGAAGGGGTGGTAAGCGTTAAATAGTTCGAAAGGAATGTTCATTCTGCTTTCAGAACTGTTTTTATTTTTCAAATCCGATCGGTAGTTCTAGAGAAAACTCGATTTAAATGGATTTGCAGAGCCGTTTTAAATGTTTATTAAGTAGACGTTGAAGTTGAAATAATTGATAGCTTGTGTCAGAAAAGAGCATATGACACAAGTGTATAAGTGCAATAAGTGCACAAGCAAGGAAGCGAGTTTGCGAGTGTGTTAAATGTAACTTTAATTCTGTTATGGATTGTAATTTTGAAAAAAATTTTCAAAATCGGAAAGGGCACACCCGGAAACCTAATAAAAGATGTGTGTTTTTCTAACTCTTATGGTTACTGAGTAAAAAATTAAAGAAGAAATGTAAATTTCACTACTTTTTTGGGAGTGGTTCCCAAACGATGAAACGAAACACGTTGGACCTTCGGTTTATTTTGAAAAAGTGCTCGTTTTGATCCCCTCTACCACCCAAATTTTTTATACATACTTAAATGTAGCTAACACCCTGTATATTTCCTCGCCAGTAATGTGTCATTTTCCTAACTTTTATGTAAATAACTATTACATGACTCTCTCTACAGGGCTTAATCCACAATCTAAAAATGAGACTGGCAACTGTTCGCCAAAAAGGACCAAATGTTTATTTGGCGTGGAAAAGTGTATTATTTATCAGGACGAGGACGTAGACAATAACAAGATAGTTACCACAGTTAATGGAAGAAAAAGAATACAAGAAGCTGCCGCTATAAGAGATGACGTAGTTACAGAAAAACTAAGAAGATTGGCTGCTGATGTTGTGTCTATGTATCACGTGACAAACCAGTTCTATAAATCGTATAGGTATCTAAAACACTTGAAAAAAATAACAGCAGAAAGGCTAATAGTGAAGTGCCAGAAAGTAAAGATGACCATGCCAAAGACGAAATCACCAGGAAAACAAGATCATCTGTTATACCACAACAGCCTCCTTCATCATCATTGTGCATCCAACCAGAGTTGGACTGGGTCAAACATAGAGTGACCCAGTGACCCGGTGACCCAGTTGACCCGGTGACCCAGCTTGACCCGGTGACCCAGTTTGACCCCGTGGCCCAGCTTGACCCGGTGACCCAGCTTGACCCAGTGACCCATCTTGGCCCAGCTTTACTCAGTGACCCATCTTGACCCCTAGGTTGATCCAGTTGAATCCGATGACCCAGTAATTAAATTATTGTTAGGTATCATCCAAAACAATTTCAAGTAACTTTTAATTTTAAAAAAAAACTTCCTCAATAATATTCGCCAACAAGCATGTAGCCCAATTTTATTCAAGAGAACTAATACCTAAAAAAATCAAATGCATTTGTTTATAGTTTGTAGTCAAGTGAAAGTATTTAGAGAACAGATTTATTTGGTATTATGTTATCAAAAATCTCTAAAATATAGTTTTATCAAATTATAGTTTCGGCGTACTGTTGTGTTAGTACAAAGTATGATAATGATCATTTCGAGACATGCCGTCTGCATGAGTAATTTAAATATGTAGTCAAAAAAAAAAGATTTATTTGGATTAAGCCAACTAGTAGAAAAATATTAAATGTGAATGAACACCTGTACGCAAACTGGTAAGCCCTGAAGCAAAGAAATGAAGGAGGGAACTGTTTAGAAATAACATTACTCTAATACAATTCGGGACATAGAAAGTTTTTTACGGCAGTATTAAAGCAAACATCACAGAAATGGCAGTTGTCAAGCAATCGAGTATTATTTTCAACAAACCAGCATTTCAGTTATTTCATAATCTGTACACTTAACCCGAGGGCACTGACTTAACTGCATTATTCGATCAAACTAGGTTACTGGGCCGAATTGGTGAAATTGGGTCGCTGGGTCAAACTGGGTCACTGGGTCAAATTAGGTCACTGGGACACTTGGTCAAACTGGGTCACTGGGTCTAACTGAAAAGAGTATGACGTGACCCAGCGACCCAGTGACCCAGCTTAATTCAGTGACCCAGTTGACCCAGTGACCCAGTCCAACTCTGCATCCAACACATATTCCATGAATTGTCTATGGGCATCAAAGTCATAATGGTGTTCGCAACAATCTATTTCCAACATGACATGAATGAAGATTATAGGCTAGGCCCTAAGCTTGACGAAGGATATGACTGCACACTAACTGAAATTCGTGAATTGTTGAATGAATTGGCTGATGGAAACGTAATCGGAAACAACGAAGTAAAACTAAGACTGCAAAAACATTGCGAGAATAGAATAACTTTCAGTTTATCTTATAGTAAAAATGAGTCATTGGTGGTTTTTTCGTCAAAAATTCTAGACATTGATGCCCACTGAGGTGCCTCATGAAATTTTAACATTTTTGTCTGCATTTTTAAATATTAATAAAGGTCTGCTGTTATCAAAATACTACAAATGAAGAAGATCCCGATAAAGACCGGTCTTAAATGGACACACAAGACGATGATGACAAATTGTTGACACATGGTGCAACCTATCATGATAGAAAAATGGCTGTTATCTGCTCTGAAGTGGTCAGCGTTTTGGAAGTGTAAGACCAAGGAAAAGTATGAGACTACCCTTCAAAATGCTCAGAAATTAAAAATAATTACCATTCAAGTTTGTTTTCTTGACACATTCACTTTACCGTCCCGTATTTGAATTTGATATTTCTGTAAATTTAGATTGGAGGTGTAAGACCCTATAATTTTTTAATAAAATTTACGTATGACTCCATGTCAGTCGTTCAGTCAGGTATATGAGCATAATAAGAACACGGATGAAGTATTTCTTTTTTCTTTAGCAATAGATTTCGGGGTTACATCCCCATCATCAGGCTTAGCATGTTTTACAATTGTAAAGCAAATTAATTTTAAATTAATTAAAACTTTGCAGTATCGGTTAGTTGTCAAGGTACGTTTAGTTCACTTATCATTTGTCTTGTTTTCCTGCGTCTTTCCCGCACATTCCGCTAACTAATTTCCGACAGGGAATTGGATGTTTTGCCGTGTGTTTAATTTTGCTTTAAGAGTTCTCTGCCGTGCCCGAGTGTTGTGCCCGTAAGAGTCCCGGAGTCCTTTTCCTCCGAGTGAGTCGATCTGTGGCTACCGAGTTTTGTTGCAAAACTTCGAAACTGTTCCTATCGACGATCCTCAGCAAGGGCAGGGCCCCATCCCTTGGTGGGGCCTGAGCATACCGGACCGCCGCTGTTACTGCTGCCGTGGAATTTATGCGTTCTTATTTAGTTGTGATTCTATTTTTTTTAATTAAATTTTATTTAAAAATGACAAATTGTTCATTTCGAATTTCAAAAAAAAGACAAAGCAAAACGTTCAAGCAAAACAAAAAATGTGATGTACTTACATATAAATAAGGTCTTCCTAGTTGTTAACAATTCTTATTTTTTAAAGTTTACAAGCATTCACACTCGAAAGGAATACACATAATTTCGTAATTAATCACGTAAACCATAAGATAGTACGGTAATGGTAACGCATCTTTACACCCAAATACTAACAAGAAATAGAAAGTATGTATTCTAAAAACAATTAACCTAGTAAAAATAAATGACTTTGGAAACTATAACCTAATTCCAAATCTTCCAAAAGCAATCGAAAAACAAGTTAACTTTGCAAAATCTATGACCTTAGAGTTTCGGTCACATAGTCGATGATGTTTTCGGGAAATAATTTTGATCACTCCTGAGAATTTTGAATAATTTCGTTTTGGAGTTTTGATTTATCGATTGATATGTTTCGAGACTTAATTCGCGGTTTAAAATCTGATTCACGTTTCGAGTATAGTTTCGCTTTTAATCGGCGAAAATAATTCGCGGACTTAGGTTATTAAGCGTTTTTATTCGCGACTTTAATTAAACTAATTTAATTATATCTTTAAAACTATTATTAAGGTAGAATAAGGACTGTTTTGGTGCTAGCTGTAGTGTAAACATTCCTATTTGATTCCATTGCACCGATGTTGAGCGTACCTTGAGCATCGTAGAAATGGAGCGTGAGCTTCACCTTGGTGTGAAACAAGCTTTAGATTTCTAGGTTCAATTTTGTGTTTCGTAACGTTGGCGCCACTGGGAAAGTTGACAGCTTTGGTGAAAATGTACAAAGATCGAAAACACTCACCCACGAAGAACCATATCGCACCATTTGAAGTAGTCATTCACAACACGAAACACGACTGTTGGGTTTCTTTACTGGGAAAAGTTCTCGACATCACAAATCTAATCAAAGAATTTGAAAACGAGAAATGCGTTCGTCCTCTACTCGCTGAAGCGGGAAAGGACATAAGCCAGTGGTTTGACGAAGACACTGGAGACATTCGTACGTACGTCCATCCCATTACTGGAGCTAAGGTACCGTATTGTCCACATGGACCTTTACCTCATGTACCACCGCAAGTACCCGCTACTTCTTGGAGACCCATACTGTTGCCGTGGTGGAAAGACCCACAGTACGAGGTGGGTCCTCTCACAAAACGCGTCAGACCTTTAAAAATACTGAACATGTTAACATGTCAAGAAGCCTACATTAATGTTTGCTGCGAAGATACCATATTAAGGATTACGGAGAGGTATTCGATATTTAACAGGGACGGTTTAAGTTACACGTGGCTGTACGGCGATAAACAGTTACACATGGATAAAAATTTGGAAGAAAATGGAGTCGTCGATGAACGGGATTCGTTCACTGCTTTAGGACTTCCTCATAACACCCATGTGCCTCTTCTTTATATTTATTATAACGATGACTTCAAATATGAATCAATTTGAGTGTTGGTGCACCATTCGTCATGCTTCTAATGTATTAAAAATATTGCACCTTTAATAGAAATCCCTAAAAATGTTAATTGTTTGAAAATTGGCAAAAATTGCTAACTTATCACTGGTTATCGCAGAGATCTAAAGATATCATGAGAAAATGAGAGGACCAGTGGATTTATGAAGGGGCGGAGTGCTCAATCTTTGTGGCCTGAAGGGTAGAATTTCAAGGTATCCAAGGCAAATTCAAATATACCCAATGGCGGTGTTACTGATAGAAATTCTAGCCAATGGTGGCTGAAAAATATGTATACGACGCTAGTGACTGCTGCGCTAGAAAAATCGGCGGACAGTGCTTCAGCTTAACGCTTTGATTCCAGTTCAAAGACAATAAATCCAGCTTCCATTTCCACCCAATCTGACCCTCATTGGTCGCTATTTATAGAATAATCACGTGTTATTGGTTAAATCATATAAGAGTTGAATTGTCAAAGAAATCCGCGTTGTGTTAGTGGTTAGTCCATCCCATGGATTTTTTTATAACTTCCACGTAAATAACCTGTGATCAACAGTCGCGTCATAATAAGAAAAACTTTATTGTAGATACATGAGGTCACACCGCCATGAGAAATTGAGAAGTGCTGAAAGCTTCCTTACGCATGGGTTCTGTTACACATTTTCTATTCCGCAAGCTCAAGAACGCACGTAAATGATGTGGTTTTTATTAACAAGCAAGTTGTCGGTATCAAAAGTCGGTTCCACTTCGATGGAAGGTTAATTATAGCTAAATTTTGGCGGAGATACTTGTAGGAGATTTCGAGAATTTGATTAGCGTGTGCGTTTCGATTAGGTTACATTTACAAAAATAAATTGGATTTGGCACTCCATAAATCAGAAAACTACAGCGCGAACATTATTGAAGTTATAAGCTAACCCAGAGGCGAAAGTTAGGACACCATAGCTATGTGTTGTTGTTTTTTTTTGCTGAAACAGCCCATAGATAAAAATTGCGAATTTCCATATTTAATTGAACGTTTGACAAATATGCTTACACTTGCATGGATAAGGGTAAGTAAGTAAGGGTACGTTTTCGCTGCCGCCGGTAGACGCGACGTGTACCGGCAACCGGTACAGGCGGCGGGCAGCAGTCGCGTAAATGTTTTCGTTGGTCAGTGCGATCGCATTGGCCAGCTGCATTGTAAATACTATGTAGGAGTACAAGGCGGATGCCGAGAAGCGGCGTTTACCGGCGACAGCGGAAACGTACCTACCTTGAATAAGTCATCGTTTCAGTTTGGATCAAAGTGCAAAGACAAAATAGAAGAAACCCAAATCAGTTACGAATAGTCATCTCATTTAAATATTTTTTAGAAAGGTCGTCTCTTTTGCTTTTCCGTTTGGTTATTGCACTCCACAAATTATTTAAATTTTTCGATTTTTCAATTTTGTTTACATTATGGCACGACCGATTAAAATTTCATATGTACCGCTTCATAGGAATAATAATCCAGAGAATGGGTTCTGCCATAATACATAAGCGAGTCGGAAAAATTGCATTTACATCGGTGGTCCAGCAGGGTAACAGATAAGAAAAGAATATGCGCTTGCGGTTGCTTGAAAGGCGTTGCGGAAGCTACCGAAGTCTTGCGGTTTAGAACGAACCGGCCACTTTGGTTGGGGCCGTTTCGGTTTTAAAGCTTGGCAATAGAACTGAGTGAAAGGTAGAGGGAAACCAGCAACAATCGCCTTAGAGTGCAAGTCTCTTTCGTTAGAATACTTATTCCGGAAGAAGTTATGTCAAAGTTAATGAAGGCGCGCGGGCAGCTTATGTGAGATTCCGTTTGAAGAAAGTCAATTATTACAGTTTTAATAAAAGAGCAGAGTTCCTTTACTGTGCGAGAGTCTATAAAGAACGTTTTCATTCATTAAAAGGCAGTGGCAGTCGACTTTTCATAGCGGCCAGATCTAAGTTAGTTGACGACAGACGTGACAATAGAACGGTTATTTATTTGCCAAGAAATATCACGGCTAGACGTTTGGCCGTTTACTAAGAAGGTACGGAGATTATTTCGAAATACGGAGTGAAGAACGAAGCTTTCCTTTTCACCATTACGTCTTCCAAGTGGGCATAATCGCCAGGTGAAGATTTGAACCATTAACCAGATAGCTTCTGCCTCCTTTCCTGCGCGAACATTCATTCATTATAGAGAGCTGAGACAGCATAGGACTTCGGTTAACTACATTAGGCCATTACGCGAAACTTTCTACATCCACCGCCATGCCTCAAAGGAAAATCTTCATTTATTTATTTCCCGTTTCACCATCGGTTTGTTTCGTAATTAACCAGCGATTTGTTCTTGATTGATCTCGCGATTTGTTTGTAACGATTGTGGTCTGTATTATCGACAATTATTAAGTTTTTCGGGCGTGTCCCCCAATCCGTGCGTAGATTCGCTAGAATCGAGTTTGGTTGTTTTTGGTCCGTAAATTTTGTTTTTGCGCGATCGGTCATTTCTGACTATTTACCATGGGTGTTTCCATGACAGTACGTAGAATTTACCAGTTGCTATGATTACGACGACGCCAAAATTACTTACCGATCTAAAAACAGAACAGCAAAAATACTTACCGACGCCTTTTTAAAAATCAACAGTCTTACATTACATTTAATCTTTAATTATTGTTAGGTACATTAAACGTACAATTTGTGCTGTTGTTTCCTATAGCAAGACGCTCATAAAGTCATAAAGGAAGTGCAAAGCTAGCAAACTACATCAGACACATGCACATTTTTATGAAATTATTAATTTCAATTTTGACATTTAAACTGGTTACCTAGTGATGTACCCCATACCACTTCAATCATTTCGATTTATTCTGCTCGTTAATTTCTTAGTGCATATTTATATTGGTTGCATAATTTTAATTTCGATCGCGCAAAAAATGTTATAAGCACGTCGAACGTTAAGGGTTACCGTTCTCAGACAATAATTGGAGTCGTCGCTCCGCTCCTCCTCCAAACAATTGTCTTCGAACGGTAAAAATCCCTTACCGTTCTCCATACTTAATATACTATTACAATTACCATACGTAACATAAGCGCCGTCGATTTTTTTGGTACGGGAAACGCTTCATTCCATTGATTTTAAGTTCAATCGAATTTCTTGAAGAATGGTGAGAGTAGTCGTTAACCTTTTTGGTTTTCAGCAACTGGCTTACTCTTTCGCAGTTGTTTGGTTACAAAAGTGTATTTTCCTGTAGGGGGTGCAATTCATAAGAAATAAGAAATGTGCCGTAAAGCTAATAAATACAGGTTGCTGTGTTTTATTATCCCGTGTTCCCTACTCTTTTTGAAGTGGAAAAGAAGAAGCAGCTAGCCGTGACATTATTCAACGAAAACCCAAATAAGTGCTTTTTTGTACTCATTGAATGGAAAGATAATGTTTCCAAGCATCCTCGATGCACGGGAAAACGACTTTCCCGCATCGCGGTGTTTTTTAGTTTCCGCTGGAGAGAAGGGGTTATGCGCGTTCTTCGGTTGGTAGTACTTATTGAAGTCAACGAACGTCATGTCATGGTTAACTGTCATCTGCTGTAAAATCAATTAAACCGTTGGTTGAGGGTATTTAGTGCGATTAATCGGAAACAGACGTACAGAAGTTTTACGTAAATATATAAACAAGAACTTATAACGCAATCAAATTATTTTTCAGAATTGGAACTCAAGAAAAAGTAAGATTTATTGTTAAAACGTCTTAAAATGTGACCAGTGATATTCTGCAACTATTCGCATATGCAGTTTAAGAAAGCACATATTAACACACACAAAGCTTCCAAGGATTTTAAATGTAAGTAGTGTATTTACGCAACTCAAGATATTCAGTGCAAACGATGCAATGCCGTGACCAGTAGTAGCACTCATTGCAAAGGCAAAATATGTATTAACCAAAGATGTGGAAGTTTTAAATGTGACCAGTGCATTATTAAAAGTGGGTAGTTACAAAATTATGTTACCAACCAAACATATGATTGTGTTACCAACTCATGATTAAAAAAAAGCTAATTTACAAAACTTTATTAATTTTGACCTTTTTTTACGCAATTCGTTACAATAGTATATTGAAAGACAAGTGTTACAATGCGACCTATTGTAATACGACTATCTTGTGGCACGAGTGGCAACGCGAAGCGTAGCCACGAGTGTCCGCAAGATAGGAGTATTACAATAAAGCATTGTAACACGCGTTTTTCATACTATTTTTTCTATTTCGGTGCTTTAATTTAATTAAAAAAATCATTATCAGAAACTAGAGGGAACATTAGAACTAACATGTTTTATGTTGGGAACACTTTTTATGCCGTTAAGTTTTAGGTTGGCAACGTAGTAAGACTGACATTTTGAAGTTTAAACATGGAAGTACCCAACGAAGTACCTACTTGTACTAACTAGTAACTGCCAACTTAAGAGATGAGTTACCAAAAAAAACGACTATAATCACTGTCTTTGTACAACTGTTTTCGGCCGAAAACAGTTGTACAAGATGATCATTGTGACACCGAAATAGAAAAAAAATATTGTACCTAACTCTTTCGGAAAGAATTTTCCCGCATTCGCACTAAATGCAGCACTCCCTACGGTCGTGCTGCAAACAAAGTGCTCATGCGGGAAAATTACTTACCGAACTTGTTAGGTAAATAACTATTCACGAACTTATAAATTAAGATGGACTGCTAATCAAACAGTTGCATAGAGGTAGCAATGGCCCTAGCATGGGCGCCGCCATGATGTGCACATTTTAGTTATTTTCTAGGGGAATTTTCCTCGGAATTTTCCTAGTGCTCAAGTTTTGAGACTATTGCAGCCTTGGAAAATGACATGTGTCACAATAATTTATTTAGAGAACGTGAGGTTAATGTTGGGTTAATGCTTGTTTCTTAGTTGATTTGAATTTCGCGCCAAGTGAGTGCACATCATGGCGGCCCCCATGTAGGTGTCACTTGTTAATTCAGCATTAGCAGTCCATCTTAATTTGATAAGTTCGTGGTACCGTTACATTTTGATGCCCAACAACGAGGCTCAAAAGAACAACTCTGAG